CGGCATGGTAGCTTTCAATATTTTGTTTCAACATCGAATAATATAATAGCATTTTATAATCTCAAAAAGGATAGCGCAAACCGTTTCAGCCGGGTGTACTTAGATTTAAATCGTTTTTTTATTTTAGCATATTCGGCCTTTTGGAGGTATTGAAATCGCGAATACAAATGTTGAGCCCATTTGCAAAATGATAAATGCTGTGCATGCCTAATATAAATATCTATTTTTAATAGAAGATTTGAATAATACTTTTTCTTTTTTGGACGAATTTTCTTGCAAATTTAAACCAAATGCACTGTATCGTGTCTGTTATATTAGGTATGTATAGGTACATATTTTCTAGATACTTTTAGCGATGTTCCTCCTGGACTAGAGTTTAAACTCGTAGAATTTTTTTTAGAGTTGAATTTAAGTAATAACATTTTGACTGAATTTTATCATTTTTTTAAGAAAGGATATTTTTAGCTATTTAAAAAGTTACAGGCACCTAAATATAGTCAGGGGACGAAATGTTGTATATACGGGGCGTACGTTCGTAAAATTAATCCCATGACTTTGTCGTAGATAATCAAAAACTGTGCCAATATTTATCAATCGTTTTGCAACTTTCAGCAACCAACATTAAAAAAAAGACATCCTAGGATAATGGGGACGAGCGCAGTCACTGTTATAGATAACTTAATGTATACTTGTAAACAACGATAAACCATTGCTTAAGAAAACACGTGCTACAATTAAAAATCTGAGCAAGTCGTCCACTGGAAGTTTTACGGGGGAATGGGGGTCCTGAGGAAATTTGTATGCAATAGTTTTTTTTGGACTTTATTGAAAAGGTCCTATCATTTATTGGAATCCGATCTATTTTATATATATATATATTTTTGGAAAAGCGTCACTGAATTCACACATCACATACAATTTGGTGGTGCAATACTGTCATGCTGGAAAGGCAATAGTGCCATAGTGGTTCTATTGTTGTAACGGGCTTATGTTCAAAGTAATATAAGAAAATATATGTACCTTATAAAATTTTGTAGACACATACATGATAAAATAATGTATATTTATAATAAATAAAATAAAATAAATTTTTTATTTCCTTAGAGCGTCTTATTCGTGTAAAACTTCAAAAATAAAAAAAATGTTAAATTTAAAAAATCTGTTTCACCACAATTATTTGCTATAGAAGGATAGAAATTGAAAATGTGGGTAGATATACGACTAAGTATTTAATAAGTAATTATTATAAAACAGAATGTAAACATATTTGTCTAATTATAATACTTATTTACTTTTCTCCATATATTATGATCAAAAACCGACATCGAGCAAATCTTAGAAATGTCTGGGCAAAACGCGAAGTGTCTTCGACCCTTGGGCAAAACGTCATAATTCGACTTTTGACCGGACAAACCTACTTGTGACCAACTTCTTTTTGGCTAATCTGTAACGTAAATTTCAATTTTTCACAATAGGTAGTTACCGTGTTAATAATATTACAACACTCGCTCTCCTCAGTAAAAATTAGTCCTTGCATGGAAATATCTGGTTTTTGACATCACAGTGACAGCATAAAATAAAAATTTGACCAAAACCGTAACTACTTTTATTCTAAGATTTATATAGTATATTTATTTACTTATATTTCTGAGATTCGCCTAATTTCGACTTTTGTCTGTAACATATATATGATACATATACACTCAAACGAGTTAAACCTATAAATAATTGAATGTGTTCTTTAACACAAGAAAACCGGATTCTTTATCATTACCTACTGGAAATCAATCATGATATATGATTACAAAACAATTAAATTTGAAGGATCTTTTTTTTTATTTTTACCCATCTTTTATTTTATTCAATTGAAGAACACCAAAGTAGGTAGTGCACAGGGCTTCCTTTTTTAATTTAAAACAGGTCCTGGGCCCTAGGCATACTCGCACAACAGATTTATAATTCTTATATTATATTATTCGCCTGTCGGCGGCGGCGCGGCGTTCTCTTTTAGCGGCGTGCTGATTTCCATCAGCCACACGATGCGATGGATATTGTGCAGTTTTCGATCTGATTAAAGAGGTTTCGTTATTTTACTGCAATTTAATATACGTGCGTAAAGTAAACGCGCTTTGATTATAATAATAATAATATTATTCTGTACGCACACGTGTCACCGATCGGCTTTTATATAATAATATTATAAGTAAACAGTACAATCAGATATACGAACTAAATCCTTTACCGATTGTTTGATAACGCGAGGCATGTATAGTATGATACACAATAACCCGATTCAGAATAATTTTAAACTTATATGCATTATAATATAATATAGTTGTTTACAAAACTTTGGTGCCGCCGACAGAATGATTTACAAAAACGATCGGATTAGATAGTATACGCATAATACTCGTATATAGATTATATAGATATTATAATATTACAATAACTTCTATAATACGGACAGTTTGTCAATTGTCGATACAATTGATAGGGGGGTATGGAGAAAATCGTCGTCATTTTTATTACTTTTAGATTCCGTGGTATTATACGAGCGATGTATTTTTTTTTAATTTTTATTTTTTTTTCCGTTCGTTAACGAGTTTTCCACCAGATATCTCGCTCCGGTTATCATCATCTGCAGCGGTGGTTTCTTGATCTATTTTGATGGGGATTTTTAGTTCAAATTTATGTACAATTTTTAGTTGTACATTTATTTTGTAGCTAGTTCAATGTTTGATTTTAATTTTATCAACAAATTGTTTTACCGAACTCTAACCAAAATCGTTTAATTCCAACTCCCCACCTATCCAGTTATACCTACGCATAATGGTATGTCCTAGCATATTGGTTTTTATTTTGCATAGATTAAAATTGTATTAATGAATAATTAATAAGAATTAAATTTGTACTAAATATTTATTAAATTATTTGTATTATTATACGAATATTGTGCACTATAATTAAGTAACACATTATCTTTTATAACAATAAAAAAAAATAAGTATATTTGTATGGTTTTATTAAAAAGATAATGAGCAATTCGAATGTGTAATTGAATAACATTCGACTTCAGCACGTAAAATATTTTTACATTTTTCAGCAAAGATTGAAGTGTAAAAAACACTCACGTAGCTAACATAACTCATAAGTAACAGGTATAGTATATGTATTATAATTATATAGTTTATCTATACATATAAATAAAACCGAAGTGTATGTCTATCTGTCTGTCTGTCTGTCCGGGCTAATCTCTGAAACGGCCGAACCAATTTTGATAGGACGTTCACTACGAGGCAGAGTATTTTCCGAGTATGATAGGTATTAGCTACTGATGGCTACTGATTGGCTACTAGGTGAAAAAAAAAAAAGTAAGTTTAATAATTATTTAATACCGCAATATAGCAATATATTTACCGCGGTTTGTCTAATTAATACTGTAGATAGGTCATTTTTGGGAAGAAAAGTATTTATTTCATATGAATGAAGCTTGGAACGCGTTCCTTTTCAAATATAAGAATGAGAAACCGGAAAGAATTTCTATTTATGAGGAATGTGAACGCAAATTTCCGTTCCCTCTATTAAAAAAAAAATGAGACCCTCTTTATTTTAGTGATAATAGTGTCTAGAAATTATTTGGGGTTGGTTTCACTTCGACACTTACTAATAAATTACCACAATGACACAATGTTGCATTTCAATTTTTATTAACATAAGATAGGTAATAATATAATATGATAAAATAAACCGTGCCATTGTATAGATACTTCCGTAAAATAAATTAATTTTGAGTAAATTGATGTATTTCTTTTTCAAATAATATATTTTTTCATTTTCATTTTTCAAAGTATGAAATTAATTTAATTTAATTTATTAGGGTTTCAAACATGTTAATTTTAAGAAGTAAGAATAATTTCTAATTTTAATTGACTTGATTAACTCAAATAACACTACACAAGTGTGAAGTGACTAATGAATAATTCATGAAAACCTTTATTGTCAAACATGTGTGTATTTTCAAATTAAGAATAAAAATATTATATTTGGTCTGCTTAAGGTATTCATTTAAGAAAATAAAAAGAAGGACCGCTTAAAAGAACGAAACGAGTTCCTTTTTTACAGTGAGAAAACGAATTCCTTTTTAAAAGAAAAATTCTTAACACTAATACGGGCAAGTGCATGTGGGACAACAATCTATACGTGCAAATAAAAATTAACATTGATGGAAAAAACAGTTATTGTTGTTACTTAATTTGGTTATCACAAGGGTATGAAAATTAATTTAATTTTTAAAAAAGACGCTCTAGGATAATGTGGATAGGTACAGCCACTGTTATAGGAAATTTATTTATACCTGTAAGCAACCATTGCTTACGAAAAAAAACGATTCTGAACGGAATTTAGTTGATAGTGATGCTTTGTCAACAATATACCAGGCATGTAAATATGAAACCGGAATTCGCCTATAAATATTTCTATCTAACAATGTAGTTATTTCCAAACTGCATAATTGATGTTATTTACATGTTAACATATTACAAAATATATTTAACTTATAGTAATACAAGTTTCATATAACTGCATAGTTTGTCACAGTATTGAACATGTCGAATTTTGTTCCTAGAAATTACGATTTGAGTACAGCGTTAATTTTCTGTTACCATTTGAAAAACAACTGTTACAGAATCACATAGAACGCTTGTCAAAGCTTACGGTGAGCAATGCCTTGATAAATTACAGTACTATGAGTAGTTTAAAAATTTAAATGAGGCGATTTTGACATGAGAAACGAAGAACGTGGAAGACCAACGAAAAATTTTGATGGAAGACAATGCTCCGTGTTTTGTGGGATCAGAAGGGTGTGATCTATTATGAGCTACTAAAATCTGGCGAAACTATTAATACTCAGCGCTACCGATAACAAATGAACGATTTAAATCAAACTTTTCGTGAAAAACGACCAAATTATCAAAAAAGATAAGTGATTTTGATTCGTGATAATGTCTCATCACATAGCAAAACTGGTCAAAGAATCGATCGAGGCGCTTAGTTGGGAAATACTTTCGTATGCGGCTTACTCACCAGACTTAACTCCGTCCAATTACTATTTTTTGCATCGATGGGACACGCACTTGCCGAGCAGTGCTTCACTTCTTACGAAAATGTACAAAAATGGCTCGATTACTGGATCACCTGAAAAAATTAACAATTTTTTGGCGGAGGATTCACAAATTACCAGACAGATGGGAAAAATGTATAGCTAGCAATAGGCAACGTTTCGAATAAAATATTTGTTATCTGTTTCATAAAATAAACGTAGATTTTCTGTAAAAAAATTCCGGTTTCATATTTACAGATCTGGTATATGTCATATTATAGTATAATGGTTAAATAGCTAGGCTTTATATATTTTCTTTAATAATGTTTCATTAATGTTGTACCGATTTTCCAACGTTTTTCCCGGTTTTCGACATTTGCTAAGAAAACTTCGGAGAAAATCGAAAAATTTTAAGGTGCTATCATTTTAAGTTGGAGCGAAATTGCTGGTTGAAAATTTGTGCACAGGAAAAAAAAAATCGTAATATTTTAGTAATATATTTCGTACATTTTCCCGGTTTTTCAAATATTCCTTAAAGTACCTCCCCAAACCGATTTCCTTTCAGAAAAAAAAGCGCTACACTTAAAAATCGTAGTAAGATTTCCGGTGGAAAAATTGTGTACGGATAAAAAAAATAAATAAATATCTCTGTAGAACTATGAGCTTCTTCGCTCCACTCAGAATCTAAAATGTAAAGGCAACGACAGTTAACTGCAGTAATACAAACGGAGTCGCGAGGAAATGTGGTTGTTTTTTTATTTTTTTTTTTGTTTGTTTAATACGGACGTGATGAATGCCGCGCGGGACAACTACTACAGAACACAATGTATTGGACGTTTGATTATTTGATTTTGTTTCCGTGCCGATATTATAAAATACTCGCGTATGATATAATGATAATGCCATTTTAACGATAAAATGGATTTTAATAACCAAATAAATTATACGCAGTTATACGTTTCTAGGCTATCCGTACATTTCAAAGTGAAAATCGCTGCACTTAATTAAATACATAATTTATATAATTGATATTCTCGCGTTGAGATGATATATTATGTATCACGCACGCGGCGGCGTGGTATATATAAATATCACGGTAATTATTCATATTATATTGTATGCAGCGATGTTATTTTTATTGAAAATACCTAAGTAATTACACATTTTTAAACCTTTATCGGTTAGTTGTTTTTTTTTTTTTTTTCGTTTCGTGCCGCTATATAGTTAGTTTGTATTGTATACGGTTTTTAAACTGCTGTTGCCACTGAATCATATAATGTATTCGTAACTGCAGCGCCGCCATCGTAAATTAAAAAAATTACATTATATAGGTTTACGCGCGTGCAGGTTTTCAAAATAAATAATATTATATAACAAGTCGTTTTGTAATAATATTATTTATTTCCACGTTCCTTCTTAGTCTGCGATGCATACTGACCGCTCAATTAAACTGCACCGTACACATTATACTGCAGTGGTCTCCAACCTTTTTTTACGGAGGGCCAAATCTGGCATACACTTTGGCATCGCGGTCCTACATTTTTTAGTGGAACAAAGACGTGCCTAATGAAGTCGAAGAATAGATACAACAAGTAGATGAGATTTATTTAGATCTTGGAAAAATGTATATTTATGTTTTATTTGTATAATTCAAAAATTGTTTTATTGTCATACGAGTATGTAACTTGGCGAGAACTTTAGAATTGCTTGTCTTGTAAATCTTCTTCATAGTTTGCATCAAACTTTGTTGGTCCGATAAACTGCGTCACTTGTAAATGTTCGTCATTTAAGTTTGGCTTTATGGTCTATACTTTGATTTGATGTATTTCATTTTTTATGATTATATAATGATAATGTAATGAAAATATACATAATGAAATATAATGGTTAAATATTATTATAATACTTATTATATAGTTTTGAATAATAATAGTAATAAAAAAAAAAAAAATTATATAACACCGCACCGATCGAGAAATTATTAACGGTTTTAGACATATAGGCGTGTGTTTGTGTGCATGCGTAGTGAATCCAAGAAATAAAATCCCCGATATTTTTATTTTGAATGATGTATTTTAATCAGTTTTAGACTAATAATAATAATTCATTAAACTAAATGTATCTAGTATAATATATTATGTAAAATTGTATATTATTATTATTATTATTATTTATACACCACCAAGACTTTTTTTTTTAAAAAAAAAAGTGCGCCATTTCTTTTTTCATAATTGGATCGGTACCACTGTACCTGAAAGTTTTCTTATCTCAAAAACCTGAAGTTCGTTTTTGTTTTCGAGTGTTTTGAAAGCGTTCGTAACCATGGAAAGATTACCTATGGAAACGCAAGTTTTGGTTTCCGGACAGTCATCTAATTCAAATCTGGCCAACATGGTCTTGCGACCTAACCCCCCAGCGACATTTTTTCATGGGATTACGGTAAGTCGAAAGTGTATGAGAATAATCCCCGCGATCTCACACAACTCAAACAAGAACACTGAAGAGTGATGGAAGTGCTGGACGGTGAAATAAGTGAGCGTGTCATCGCAAATTTTATGGACAGATTAGCTACCTATAGTGCTAACTACAGTGTTTTAAACGTAAACTTCGGGATCTCTTGAATACAACCACGTACGATTTTTTTAAATTATGATCATTGATTAACAATAAAAAGTTAATGCATTTTTAAAAAAAGAACGTTATTTCGTGGATACTCTTTTTATAGCTGAATGCAGCTTTCCGCTTTAAACTTACCTAAACCACGCAAATAGAAAAACCGTTGAAATATTGACAGTTGATTGAGCAAAGAAACTAATAATATGAATCGTGTATTTTGGTTGTAGTTTTATCTAGTTGTGAACAACTTACCATAAATATTGCTCGACATCAATAACTTTAGGAGAGGTCTCTGGTAGAAAATGTTGCCTAGTTGGTACACTTCGGGGGGGGGGGCGTTTTTCGATTTTCCTTGGAATTCTCTTCATAATTGGAAAACCGGGACAAAAACTGAAGAAAACCGGGAAAATAACGGTTTCTGTTCCGTTTTTTTCATTTGTTGCGATTCAGTTGGAAATGATCGTAGCAACCCGGTTTGCAATGGTCGGGTAACGCACGTACTGAGTACGCTGACACGTTTTCCACGTGTTTCACTCCAGATAGTTATTTCCCGATATAGTGCGGACTTCTTCCGCTTTAATTTTCACAATCGCCGCTGTACAATATCCCTCTGTTCCCATAATAATAATTAATGAATTATCGTTATTGTAACGGGCGTTTGGTGGGACGACGCACAGCCGTTCGATTCGCGCGTTGCGTAATGATGCGCTCCGAATCGGCGAGGGACAATAATCGGGCGCCGCGGACACCGATCCAACACGGGCGCTCGTGTCCCGGTCGGGTTCGGGTTCCCTCCCCCCCCCCTCCTCCCCACGATCGGCGGCAGCGGAGAGGAGAATATACGCGCGCCGCGCGGCCGTGAAAAACGCGCGGTCGTTGGTAGCCCGGTACGTTAATTTATACAAATTTATAATACGCGCGGACAAACGAACACGCTCGCCGGTATGCGGCGGCGGCGACGGGTCGTGGACACGACGCCTCTTATGCGGTACACGCTGCAACGCGGTACGGTAACACACGATGATAACGTAATAAATGTAAACGATATTCAGATACGCATTAATATAAATGTACAATAACAGTAACCGTATCGTTATAACTTATAAACGGTTTGCGCCGAGTTCTTTGTATGGAGATGTGTTACGACCCGGAGCCCGCAGACCGCGGTGGCGTGCTATTTCCGCGCGTCGTCGCAATCTTTACCCGCCGAGATTGGACGTGGTTTAGCACTGTTCGTTCGAAATTTAAAATTATTTACGAATTGTGTACAATTTTCCAATCACTATAGTTTTGTTACTGATTTTTGAACAAATGATAAACGTTAGGTATAAAGTTATAAATTATATGCCTCGTCATTTTATACGTACGGATTTTCCATCATAACTAATAGAACCCCCGTCAATACATCGAAGTCATCGGTGGAAGGCTTGAGGTTGGAGTATGTACCAGCAAAATAAAGAAAACGAATATACATACATTTAGATCAGTGGCGTAACCAGGGGGGATAGAAGGGCCATGCCCCCCATCGGTTGTATTTTCTTTTTTTTTTTTATTAATTTCATCTGTACGTTTATAGACAAGTATATAATATTATAAGTATCTACGAGTACGATAATATGAAAATATAATGTGTAATTAATGTAATATAATAACGATAGAAAATGTATATATATTATTTATAGCCGTGGTATTAAGGTTGATTTTGATAAAAATAGTAATTTCAATAAAAGTGGTCAAAAACACAAAATTGATAAAACTTTGTGAAACACGAAATGATTCACTTATTACTTTCAAAGAACTATACATTTATATATAATTAATACTCTAGAACATCTTGAAAAATATACAAATCCTGTAAGTGCTATAACCAAGAGTGATTTTCTTGTCTCTCTTGAAGTAGGTGTTACTTGTTTTTCATATACAAAACAATTAAGTAAAGTACTACAAAGCAAACAGCAAGACTAAAGCTTATCTAAAGCTTTAAATGGAGTAATGATTGTTACAGAAGCTTTAGAAGCCAATCGATTAGATGCTGAAAAATGTTTTAAGGAAATAATGAAAAATGTTACCGCAATATAGCTTCTGAACTAGACATTGAAACATGCATGTATCGAACCTGTGGGAGACAGATTGCCTGAAACAATATAAATGCCAAAAACGCAGAAGAATATTATAAAATAGCAATATTTATACCATTTCTTGATAATCTAATTACTCAGTTACATTTAAGATTTGATAAAATACTAAAAACAATTATACCACTAGAAAGACTCATACCAATTCTAATTTGACACATTATGACGACCAATCAATCTTATAGCTGCGAATATGAATTTATAACCAGCATAAAAGCCGGTGTTATTCATATGGAGAAAGCAATGGCGATTGAAAGAAAATTTACCAGATTGCTGTAGAAGCAATTCAACACTGCACAGAGCTTTTTCCAAATTATCTAGGTTGTTTGCAATAAATTATTATAAATGAACAGTCGTTAAATATTGTATTCATTTCAGCAGGATGTAGTTAGTACATTATCTGGT